GTTTCAATGATTCTATTAGCTTAGGATCATAAATCTTGCTTTTTTATTAGTTTTTGCATTATTGTATTTTAAAAAGTATTCACAATATTCTGGGAGACCTCTGTATTATACATCTTAACTTACAAATTGATCTATCACAGGTACATAATATTACTTAAATTTTAAGTTGTTTACTTTTCATTTGTCTAATTATAATATTTTTGAAAAAATCTTTAAATCTGCGTTTCATCTTCATTTGATATTGTTACAGTAGATCATAATTAAAATGAATTTACCTGCAACAATAGATTTGAGAGAGAATAGACTCAATTATGTTCATTAGTCTCTAATTTCTGTGCTGATATCATTCATTATAATCAGTTGGAAGAAGTTCAAAGGGAAATTAGATAAGGTAATTTTGGGTTATCTAAGTTATGCAATGGTGAAAGTTTTCTATCTATACTATCTTCAAATTGAACTTGCTTTTTCGAGTTAAAAGCCTTAAACTATTCAACAATAAAGTTCTTTTCATCTTAATTTCATGGGAGGAATTATTGTAGAAAAGTTTGGAAAAATATCGAGATCAGCATAATTTGTTCTAATTTTGATAAAGGATTAGATGATCGATGACCAGTTACGTGTTTAGATTTTGCATCATTATATCCAAGTTTAAAGATAGAGTTTTCTACGTCATCAAATAAAAATATAGATCATTTAAGTTTATATGTCACAAATAGTGATGTGGCTGATAAATTCAATCGAATAATGGATCGAATTATTTAGTGAATCATCTTATTATATAGTCGTGAAATATACACATGTATTTTTTAGAGCATCCTTGTATAAGCATGTTGTGCTGTTCATTATTACTCAAGACTTGAGCAAATATATAATTCGTGAAGGGTCGCTAAAGCAAACGTGGAATTATTTTGTTGTCATTAAAGTTTTGATCTCAAAACTTGATTGATCAATAAAGTTTCTTAATTGAATTATTAAAAGTTTCCGTATACATAAATTCTATTAAAGTATTACATTGTAAATAAATAATAATTATTTCTTAATAAATAACTACCAATAATAAATAATAAATCATAAGTAAATAATGACATAAAAAGAAAATGATTAAAGCAATAATTACTCACTCTTTGTCTTCAATGACTAGAATGCTAGAATCAAGCTTATAGTTTTTATGATAAGAGAACTGGGAAAGAAAATCTTTGAAAGAATCAATGTCATCTACGAGATCAAGAAACCAAATATAAATTAAAAGATTGAGGAACTAGTAAAGATTTGAAGAGATTACAAGACATAAAAAATAATGGAATCACAACATCCACAAAAAGAAATAACTTACTCGAAGAAGCGTAAACTCAAGATACTAAAATAAATTCTCTTCCAAATTCTTTTTGTGGGTCACCATTTTATAAGTTTTTATGAACGCTCACGTATGCTGCACTACTCGAATTAAGGTTGCTTGCTGAAATCCCTTAGTGACTGTCTAAATTCTGTCAAAATTATAATAAACTATTAGTAAATAACCTGTCGAAATTCTGATGAATTTTGAAACCCGTCGTAACCGAAATTATGTCAAAATTCTAATTAACAATTAGTGTGTAACCCGTCGAAATTATGACGATATTTTTCTGAAAGAATTTAGGCAAGCATCCTTAACTCGAATATTGTCCGAGCAAAATGGAACATCAAAATGCGCATGGCGTTCGTCACAAAAAAGGGAAAAGTGAATCATTACTCATCAAGGATCATCAAAAATCCTGATGTTTCAAAAAGTTAATGATGTCACAAGAGTATATAAACAGCTCAAGGAGGGAAGGTAGCCCAAGAAAGATAAAGAAGGAAAATGAGGTAACTAAAGGTAGTCTATGAAAGATACGGGAGGAAAAATAAAGGTAGTACATGATTAAAATCACGTTCTCATGGTTAAAAGTATGCATGTCAATTATTATAAAGAAAAGGAAAGCAAACTATAACCCATATTCAGAACGTTTAAGAAAATTGAATTTGAGCAAATAAATTGATGAGAATTGCATGTTTCATATATAAATTGATGCATAGTATCTTTCATAGAACTTGGCCTTTCCTTTTTCTAGTTGTTTATTAAAAATAATCTAACTATCGAATTCCAAAAAGAGTGATCTATTGTTTTATTGAAACTATATAGAACATTATAAAAATAGTTAGTTTAGTTCACTTCTTCATTAATTAGTAAATCAGAGATACTAAAATATTGAATAATGGATATATTTGATATTTACATACTATTGATATAATTAAATGAAGTAAATTTCTATTTCTTGCTATTATTTTACAAGGTCTTTGCTTGATTGGTCATTCATTTTCAGTATCAATGATATGTTGAACTTTATTTATTCGTTCAAGTTCATGAAGCTCAGTAACAAATATGTCACTATTTTCTTCTAGTAATTTGTTTAGGGCTTGTTCTTGTTCTTCAGTTAATTCTTGTTGTTTCACTGATTTGTCGCTTTCTTTTTCTTGGTTAAGGAGGAATGTATTGATTTTTTCATTATTAGTTGATCCAAATTCACCAGTTCCATGGATAGATTCTCCAAGTTCTTGTCGAGTAGGAACAGGTTTCATTCTTTCAATTGGTGCAAGTTGTAAAAATACTACTTGAACAATTCGTTCTTGTGGTTGAACGGTATATGGAACTTGAGAGTTATTGTACAACAATACTCTAATATTTCCAGTGTAACCAGAGTCAATAGTTCCAGCTTTCACTTTAATTCCTTTCTTTGCCAAAGAGGAGCGAGACATAAGTTGACATACAGTTCCAGGGGATATTTTGAGTGCGATAAATAAATTGATATAAGTAGTTTGTTGAGGTTGTATTTCGATTGGTTCTTCTTCAGTGTATTTTACATCAAATTCAGTATCATTTTCATGGGCTTTCTGAGGTATAGCACCTTTATTATTATCATTATAAATCTTGATAGCCAGATTTGCTTCTTTTTGAACTGGTAACTCGACGGAGTCAATGGTATAGTAATGTTCAAGTATTTCATCAAGTTCATCAATCATTTGATTTTCCATTTTGATTTTAACTTTTGAAGCTAGTTGCTGTAAGAAAGTAATCATGTTCTCGGCTTGGGTTAATATTTCTTCAAGTTCAGAATCTGGTTTTGGATACATTGGTGCTTTACCCTTGTCGACGGACAGGGTGATTTCTGGAATTTCAGACTTTCAGCAATCTTCACATTGGTTACTATCACAGGGAATCAAACATTCAGTGCATAGTTTGACATTGATATATTCCAGTTTAGCGAGTTATATACGTCATTCTGGTGAAATTTGTTGATAGATTGTTGAAATATTTCATTGGATGAAACTTCTTCAGGACCGGTGTATTGGATTAGTTCTATTTGTTCATCAGTATCTTCAGGTCAAATGTACTGGAATAGGATAGCTTTTCCAATTTCATTACAGGTGAGATATACATCTATTAAAGATCCTTGCTCTCTAAGTTTTCGAATAGTTCTATGATTATTTTGCCATTCTTCTTGGTTAAACTAATAGATGTATTGTTCTTCATATGTGCAAAAGTATTTCTTGTCATAGCATCCAGTAATGTGCATGTACTTTGCTTCGTCTCGATATTCACAAACTGCACATTGAGATAAATTTAGTTTCTTCTCTCTATGGCATTGTTCACATGCTCCAGGGATAGTTCCATCAGCTAGACAATATGATGTTTCAAAATATTCATATATATATTCTTTGTATTTATTATATTGCATTATATGTTCTAATCGAATTCCATTTTTGAGGGCTAATTCCATGGTAGGATATTTGTTTCGATTTCGATTTTTGTTGAATATTTGTTGCTCTAATTCTTTTGCCCAATTATTTTTAGCCCTGTAAAAAAAAATAAAAACAAAAATCAGGAAAAAATCCAGTTTTTTAGTTCTGGAAATCATGAATTTTGTTAACAAATTTCCGGATTAAAATCTGATAAAAAACTGCTTAAAAATGAAAAAAATGGAGAAAATAAAAAAAATATCCGGAAACTTTGGAACGCGATATCTCGCGAACCACGAAACCAATTCAGACTAAAATACCACCATTCGATTCGTCAAGACTAGACGAATCGAATGGTGATATTTTCGTCCAGATTGGTTCCGTGGTTCGCGAGATATCGCATCCCAAAGTTTTCGGATTTTTAATCAAATTTTTATCAGATTTTAATCCGGAAATTTGTTTACAAAACCTGTGATTTTCCGGAACTAAAAAACCGGATTTTTTTCTGATTTTTGTCTTTTTATTTTTTTTTACAGGGCTTTTATATTATTGATGGATCTTCTTTGCTCTCATATAATTCAGAAGCATTTTATCAATAATCAATACTTAAAACTTACTGATTTTCATCAATATTGGTGACTTCAGAGATGCCAATTGTTTTCACAAGTATCAACTGGAACTGAAAATCTTTTGCAACAGTAGTGGCAAGAATATAGCCAGCAATTTGACTCTTTGACCAGCTCATCAACAAGCAGCAACTCTAGATGAAATTTCAAATTTATTTCAGGAGCTAGCTATAATCATGCAAAATCCGCAGGTGCAATACACAAGAGGATATCCAGTTAGAGCAAGAAATAGTGTTCAATCATCTACTCAAAGAGATCTGTTCACTTTGAGTTGGCTGAACTGGGAAGACATATTAGAAAATGTGATCTATGTCACAAAACTGAATATAATAGCTGAACATGTCCTAGTATGAAGAACAGAATAAATCACAGTTAATAAATTATATATATAAGCAGATTTTATATTGCTATATCAATAAAATAGAAAAAAATACTTTAATATTTTGGATCTTATTAAAATGACACATTTTTTTCAAAAATATTTACATATATATACGTGTAAATGTGATTGTACGTGCATGTATGTGAATTTTTTGTGCATTGATTATAATATGAAACAAACAATAATGTTAGAATTATACTAATAAAATGAATGTTTAATTTAATTGATGCATATTTTATTATTCTCTCCTAATTCTTGTTGCAATTCTAACCCCAATCTCGACTATTGTCATGCCAGTACCCAGTCTCTCCCCACCAAAACAACCTGAAAAATGCTTAATAGAGAAAGATATACAATATTCCCTCCTTCTGGAGCAAAAACAGGAAAGGACAATATAAAAACAACTCACCTGAACTAAATAAAAAGATCATAGAAACAAAGAAAGGTGATTGAATCAAACATCACAAGAATATGACTGAAAATTCATCTCAGAACCAGAACATCAACAGAAATAACAATGAGAAGCAGCAACAAAAGAGAAATGAAAAGAGAAAAAAAAGCAAAACAAATAATATTCATCCTGGGACAATGACCACAGCAATGCCAATGCCAATGCCAATGACAAAAATAATAAAAGCAGGAAAAATAGCTCAGAATTACAAAGAGGAAGAAACACCTCTTCAACACCAATACCAACGGAAAGACATGTTATCCAGACTGACAACCCCAACTATAAAACAAACCAATATCAAAAATAAACAAGAAGAATAAAATAAACTTACTTCAGGATAAAAGGATCTATAACTAAAACAGGATGACAATGACAGTGACAGATTGAGAAAAAGTGTGAGAAAATAAATAAATAAATAAAAAAGAAGCTTACCTCAAGATCAGGAAATGGAAAGAATTCACCAATGGTTAGAAAAGAGTGAAAGAAAATACAGATGCAATAAAAAAGAAAATGAGAGATTGGAGCAATGACTGGAAAGATAGAGCAGCAAAACCACAACATTCTCAGCACCTAACGGAAGAAAGATGAAATGGTGGTGACAACAATAATAAGAATAAGTGAAATCATGACATTTATCACCATATTGATAACCAGAATAAACAGACAATGGTGACAATGAAAACAACAATAAAAAAGAAAAAAGAAACTAAAGAAAGAAATCAACCAAAACAAAATGAAAAAAATTAACAAAAATAACAAAGAGAATTTACCTCAAGACCGACATCAAGAACAGTTCATCAATGATTGGAGATAAAATAAAGAAAGCAACAAAAGAAATGAAAAAGAAAACAAAAAAGAGGGAAAACAAAAACAAAAAAAGAAGAGGAAATAAAGAAAACCTGCCTCAGAGTCAAGATCATAAAAGTTCTATTCACGATTGAAAATGGGACAAGAAAAAGGATATAATAGAAGAGAATTAGGATAATAACCAGAGCAGCAACGAGGAGACAAAACTGCAACAATTTCCTCAAGAAAAATGCTGAAAAGTGTCTAAAAAAATAGCATAATAAATTCGTAGTTGCTAGTATTTATTGTCACACTATATGTGATATAATCAAAGTGATTGATATAATGTATGTATCCATAGTGTGAATAGCAAAAATTCATGGTGCAAATAGCAATTCCCTAAAAATATAAATATTTATTAAATTTATATCACATAATATTTTATATATGATCAAAATATCAAATAGTAACAATATTTAGTGATATTATAAATTATCAATTACTTTATTTATTTATTACACAATTTTTATAATTATTAATTATTATATTTTATTGATTTTTGATCTCTAATTATTAATTTATTTAATTTTGATTATTAATTTATCTTTGATTATTAATTTACAATGTTTTGCTAATTTTATTTGTAATATTTAAATTAATTTGTATTATGTTTATCATTTTTTGGTATTATTATCATTTTACTTGGATTTCAAATATATTATATCTTCTTACATGCTCAATACGTGTTTTAAGTCAGGTGGGAGAGATAAGATAAATAACTAAAGGTTGGTGACATGTATTCAATAAATTACTAGTCAGCTAAAAAGTGACTTAAGAAATCTTTTTATAAATTAATGTGTATTTAATAATTACGACGATGATTTATAGACAAGTAAAATATTATAAATTCAATTTATTAAATCATTCTAACAATATGACATCACAAGAAT